GGGTTTAGGGTTTCAGGGTTTTAGGTTTTAGGGTTTTAGGGTTTAGCGCTTTACGGTTTAGGGTTTAGTACTTAGGGGTTAGAGCGTAGGATTTAGGGTTGAACACAGAGGGTTCACCCCCAACAGTAAGCAACATAATGGCCCAACACACATAAAAAAGGCTATTGTTTTGCATAGTCTGGGGGGGTCCAGGTACAGTTGAGAGGGGGAGCTTCAGGGACTTCAGTCGGTTTTCGTATGGGGTTCCGGGTTTCAGGCTTCGTGGTTCAGAGTTTCACGGTTTGCGGTGCGGAGTTGTTGGGATTTGCTTGGCGATTCAGGTTGTGGTCTTTTAGGCTGTTCCTTGCTTACAGTGGAAGGCGCGGGTCACAGTCTTGCTCGAATTATACATCGCTGTTGCTACCAATATCACCTGTCTTGTCCCTAAATCCTAAGCGCCCTCAGGGCTCAGGGTTCGGGATGTTGGGTTTGTGAGCAAGGAGAACGTTGGGTCGCAGAGTTCAAGGCACGGCTTTGTCGCTGGGGCACAATACATCATGATTCCATTGTCTCGAAGCGTAATCTGAGTTCCCGGACTCTATACTACTATAACAAATTACTGAGAAACTGTTTGACTATATATCCTGCTAATCTCAATTCCTGAAAACCCGGCTCTGGGTTGGCATTGGCACCACAGCAACGAGAACTCAACTGACCCCATGTTGTGAAGGACGTGGCTCAAGGATTCAGTGACATTTGCAAGTCGCGTTGACCCAACCCTGAAGCCTGCATCTTCCAGGAACGATTGTCCCATGTGATTCCCTGCACTTACTTGCGATGCTTACCGCAAAACAACACTCTAGGTGTAGAGCAAGTCTGAGCTGGAGGTATATCTAAACCCTAAAGTCCCTAAAGTCCCTAAAGCCTGAACCCGATTGGCCGAGGCCGTGACCATTGACATTTATGGAAATGCCTCAAAGGCAGCAACATGGAAGTCAAAGTAAGGAGGCCAATGCTCCATCTTTTGGGGGAAACGAAGACTCGAGCCATCGGGGCTGGGGCTCACATGGGGCCAGGGGCTTCCAGATCAGTTGAGTCTTTCGGGCCTCAAGATGAAATCTCGGTTTTCAGCTCTCTTGATGCACATAATATGGGAGCCTTACTTGTTCGAATTAAAGATTACGGGTGTGTTGTACTATAATAATCGTATTACCGACTATGTGGCTATCAGCGAAGGATACTGGCATTACTCCCTGCAAGGCCAGTCTGCACAGTGGAGCTAGCAGCTAGTGGTTTTGAGAGGCTCTCGGTTGGGCTAACTTCTGGCTTCCGAACATGCCGAACCCCAAGAGAACGGAGCCTTAAGGCAAAACCTGAACAGCCTACCTACTACTACAAGCACTTGGTCAAGACGAGGCAGACAGTGCCAGCGGCCGCACTTTATTCACTTAATTCGGCACGCCCGACAAGTACTACGTACGATAAACGATTCTACCCGGAAGCGTCATGATGACTTCTGCAGGAATGCAAGGTTCACAAATCGATGGGACGGGCTGGACTTCGGAGTATTTGGTGGAAGACGGCCTCATGAAACAAACTTACATCTCTATCCATACTCCCCCTTTGTTGCTTGGTCGCATTATATATATATACATATACATATATATATATATCTATGGACCTGATTAAGAAACCCTGGGTCTTCATCAGGGTTCTTCCCCAGGGTTTTTAATATATCTCAATATGAGTCCTAATATTTTGGTTGTTATATGGCCAGTGTTTCTTAATAAAGTTCCTACATTACCGCGGTGCACTGATATTTGCAACCATTTGCTGTCGTTTGCTCTTTTTGATGTCCCTCTGCGGCGTCTGGCCACGTTGCGACAACATAGGCCATGGAACACAGCAAGAAGTGCACTCACAACGCTTCCTGCTCTGCACCTGTGTGTACATATAAATGCATACGTACATACATACATACAAACAAACATACATACATACATACATACATACAGACATACATACATACATGCATTGGTGCAACCTGCACGGATTTGCCTTACACCGGACTAAAGGGGGCGGATCGAGCTGTGTGTTCTTGATCTCAACCAGCAATAGAGCTCCAATATCAATACAAACGCGAATAGTAATACTAGTAATAACACTAAAGTAGGAACCTGATTAAGAAATCCTGGGTCTCTATTAGCGTTCTTTGTATGAATCCTACTGATTTGGGGTTATAGGGCCAGAGTTTCCTATCAGGTTCCTACATTAGTTGAGATTTTGCAGCCCAGCCACCTCTGAAGTGAAACAGCTGATGGGTTAGATCCGCGATGGAGACGTCCTTTGTTGGATTCTTGGTTTCACCGCTTATTTCGCAACACACATGCTTCGGGCATGAAGCATATAGCTGATCTTGATCTCTGAACAACTGAAGACGGGCCAGACTGGGTGAACCATGCCGAAACACCCTGGACTCTAAAATCCAAGCGGAGAACTTAACATGACTTAAAGCCTCAACTCCAGCCTTGTTTCTATGCCCTGATAGGCAATGCTGGAAGCTGCTTTTCTTCGTCGCAGAATGCTCTCTGAGTATGGTCGCGCCCACAAACTGCCGGTGAATGACACAGATATGCATGGGCGTCATATCAACAGAGACGGCCGGGAGGAAGGGCACGAATATTGATGGTGGCTTTAGGATGACCTGCATGCATGCACACGTAACAACCTCGAAAGGCTAACACGCAAGCGCGCATGCACACGCACGCGCACGCACGCACAAACACAGAGAGAGAGAGAGAGAGAGAGACAGACAAACACACACACACACACAAACACGCGCTCGCTCGCTCGCTCGCTCGCTCAATCTCTCACTCACTCGCTCACTCACATTCATTTTGCAGGCATACACTCGCATGCGGTGTGCGCACATGTACGTCTACCGAGGGATCTACTGTTAACAACCGAGTGCATAATTAAGTGAGAGTGCATACGTTCATACTCAAATACTTTAGATAAACGCACACACACACACTCACTCACTCCGCACAACAAAACAAAGATTAGACCACTGAAGCAATCTCAATATCGTACACAAGCCAACTCACATCAGACAGCTCTGTCTGTTCCATTATTACACGTCTTTCTGGTTGAGAGACCGCTGACTCAGATTGGGCTGATGTCCCTGGAGGACTTTCTCAACCCTAAAGCACCAAACCCCTAAACCGTAAAGCCCGGCGACGGCCAAGGAGAAAGTCTGATGACTTCGAAACAAACCCTTACTAAACCCTAAACCCCTAAAACCTAAACCGAAATGCGGGACAGACCGCAAGCCCAAGCCTGATTTGCAAGTCTCATCAGCCTTTTTCGGGGTGGGGGAGGGGTGGCTTGAAGCCAGCCGTTGCTGCAACCATCTGACGGTTTAGGGTTAAAGGGTTTAGGAGTCTGCCTGAAGCCTTAACTCAAACGGTTTAGGGTTTAGGAATCTGCCTGAAATCCTTAACTTAAACGGTTTATGGCTGTCTTGAAACGCGGGCCACGTCTCTGCTATGACCTTCATGCCCGATCCTGCTGGAACAGGCCTGGCAAAGCGGAGCCAAGCATACGGAAAGCCCGCTTCCAGCTTCACTCGTACTTGACAAGTAGGGCTACCAGCAGAAGGCCTTCCTGGCAGTGTTAGTACTGAGTCGGAACATGGTTTGACAGAAGTTTAAGGACTTAAGAGTCAACCTGAGAGGTGGTGATGGGACCTACACACTTCTTGGAAGGCTCAGAGGCGGAAAACTAAACGCTAACATCCTAAAACTTCCCCTATCCCTCCAGGTACCTACTATATAGGGTACTAGAGCCTCTAGGGCCCTATGGAGGGATAGGGTTCCTACACACCGAAACCTCGTAAACATATTCTGAGGAGCCACATCTTAAGGTCTCTGAAGGGCTGCTGTGGGAGACACTCTCAACGTTAAACTGTTGTTCACTTTTAGCAGTCTTAGCAGTCCTTCCATACGAAAAGCCAAACAAACTCATCCTCGCACTTGAACCCTCTTTGGGCATCATTACTAGGGGTCACTGAAACCACCACTCTGAGACTCCAGAAGACTGTTCCCATGGGACTAAACCCCGAACCCTTCAGCCGGATCAGCCTTAAAGTCCTAAGCCGCGAAGCCTTAAAGTCCTAAACCAGTATGCTGGGGTAGCCCCTTGTATTCCCAGACACCCCGAAGCTACAATGCACCCTAACCCTTATTGAGGAAATACAGGGCCTTGACTGCTTGACCAGGTGGAGTGCTGCCAGTAAGGGTCAAGGTTCCAGTGACTTTTGTTCTTTCCGATGTCCTTTGGCTCTAGGCAAGGCTACGAGGACAGCGCCTTGGGCTAGACAGCACAGACCAAGAAGTCTAGCACTTGTGCAGCATTTTCATGTTCGGCCTGTAAGTGCCGTAGCAAGAAACCAGCCAGAACCACCCAACTCGACAAATGCCGTAGGGCATGCTTGCGAGCGGTAGGTTGATGTTCGTTCGCTTTGAAGCAAAAGGAATCGCCTTTGAGCTTTCGGCAATGGTTGCTTGAGCTGGCAGTTGTGTCTGCTCTTTCGATCTGCTGGGAGCTTTAAGAGGTTTTGAGCGCCCAAGCCTCGGATGCGCTTATGAATGGGACTTCGCGAGGTGCTGCAGAGCAAGACAGGAGCTATGGGACGGCTGTGGAGCAGCCTACTGTGGAGCCTGGTCAGGATGCAGCAAGAAATTCGAGTGGACCTGGAATGGCCAATCAAGGGCCACAGGGTCAACAAGCTTCGGTTGAGAGTGCGGCAGAAGAGCCAAGATCTTCAACGAGACCGAAGGCATCCACTGCGGTGGAATCGGGAGCTGTTCCTGCGATGGATGGACAGCCGGTGCCGGAAGATCAGGGTTTGAGGCCACAGAGCGATCCACAAATCAGCGCGCAACGTGCTGCGGAGATTGCTGGGCCGGCAAACTTTGCCCCAGACACTGGTCGGCCTTTTGCAGAGGACGGTCCTAGCGAAGGAGAAGCTGGAAGGGGCTTCTTTACTCCGAGATCAAGAACCTCTCAGTATCAGGGAGGGAATACCAATTCTGGAAATTGGACGAACTGGATGGCACGCTTGGGCGAACTGTTTGCCCCACAGGTGCCGCCAACATGGATGCCGAGTCCTATCCCTTCTCCACCACGACCTCCTGCGCAGATAGCTCGTCGAAGTTTGGACTTGGGAGGCGGAGAGGTGATGGATGATGGGTTTAGAGGTTTTCGGTTAAGGTATAGACCCGCTAATGCTCAAACCCCTACAAGCAGCAGCGTTCCGGCCGAAGCAACACAAGCTGAAGTACAGAGACAACTCGGGTCACTACTCGACCGTTTGGCTGCAGCAGAGAGCGAGAATGCCCGGCTACAGGATGCATTGTTGCAGAGGGAGAGTACAGCGCAGGCTTCACATGCCGACAATATTCCTCCTACTGCCCCGAATATGTCGACACGACCTAAGGAACAAAGCACTTTGGGTATTCCCAAGTTATCTGGACCTGTTGGGACTGGAGATCCATGGTCGGCAATTTGGGAAGGTATTTCTGGGAAATTTGGTGCAAGAGCTAAAGCGGGTGCCGCGAGATCATCTACCCCACCACCAGGCAATACAGATTATGGGAATTTACCTTCAGGGTCAGCGCAGGTGCCAACTGGTGGGGATCAGCTACATATTCCGACTTCTATTTCATCACCAGGTATCCTCGAGACACTGACACAAGGCATGCAGCAGCTCCAAGACTTGCAAGCCAAGGCTCTTCGGAAGGATCATTCTGGCGATGATGCGCCGGAGGTGGTGAAAACAGCAACAGTGAGTTTGCCTGAGTTACCAGCACCAGCGGGGGAAACGAGTGGTCTTCAGTTACAGGACTGGTTGGTTCAGACTACGACGTTTATGCAGGATTTATCGGCTGGTTCTGGGGACTGGTGGGATTCAGTGCGGGAGATGGTATCAGATTCCTATGGGGTTTGGTTGTCAGCAACGCCATTGGAGAGACTACATATTCAGCCAGCGGATCATCAAAGGCTTTCTTCTGGCAAGTGGACGAGAGTGAATGCGAGGGCTTGTTCGTTGATGATGCAATCTTTTTCGGAAGGCACAAGGGCGGATCTTATAGCAAGAAGGTCAACCCAGTCGGCGGTCTTGATGCTCTTCAGGGTTTTTACCACCTATCAACCTGGAGGAGCGGCGGAGCGTGGGGTGGTGTTGAAGCACCTTCAAGGAGTGGAGTCTCCAAGCGATATAGCTGTTTGCCTCGAGAAGTTGAGGAGCTGGCCGAGATGGTTACAGAGGTGCAAGGATATGGGTATGACGGTACCAGACGGGTCATTGTTGGCACGGAGTTTGTCCTCTGTTACAGCAAAGCATTTGGCAGAGAACCAGGATGCGTTATTCAGAACCCAATTGATGAGGTCTACGTACTGCATTGATGCACAGCCCAGCATAGACGACGTAACAAGGTACCATCAGCACCTGCAGGCGGAGATTGAGAACATCATGATTTCCAAGGCTTCGACTCCGCTACCAATACCATCAGTGAAGGCGATTACCCCTACCTCAACGACTACTGCAACATCCTCTACGCCTTCCAAACCGTGCAAGTATTTCCTCAAAGCATCTGGGTGCAGACGGGGATCAAAATGCCCTTTTGGTCACAGCGTAGAGGGGCTCAGCAAAGCCGATCGAGCAAAGAAGTGCTTAGTATGCGGAGCTGAAGATCAACGGCAGCGGGAGTGTCCAACAAAATTTCCCAAGACTCAGCAGATCCCGCGTGCCCAGGAGCGCTCGACGCCATCATCCCCAACGTCAACTACAACAGCTTCAGTGCAGCAGGCTCGGGTAGAGCCGGAGGGCGAGTCGTCCCCGGGCAAGGCTACTGGCGGTGAGGTCACTCAGGGACAGCCAGTTCTCAGTTGGGAAGCCTTGCTACAGGCAGCAGCAAAAGTCGCGGGGTCATCAGTCCCGAATGAACCAAAGGCGCCATCTATGAGGGTGATGTCTATTACGAGTGCGCCTGATGATGGTACTGGAAGCCTCGGTGCCTTTGCTTTGGTGGACTCAGGGGCAACACATCCTCTACGACGAGCTCAACACCGGGCAGAATGGCAAGCTGCAAGCCCAGTCGTTGTTCACTTGGCCGGACATGAGGTAGTGGAAATGAAGATGAATGAAGCCGGAACACTCTTGGTTCCTCATACTGGCAGCACTAGGAACTCTTCATCGTCACCAATCGTTCCGTTGGGATCGCTTGTTGGAGTGTTGGGCTACAAGATGGAGTGGCATGGCTCACGTTGTAAGCTCATAGGACGAGACGGTGAGACATTGGTGTTGCGGGTGAGGGATGGGTGTCCAGAGATCACGGAGCAACAGGCGCTAGAGCTCATTGCCCGTATCGAAGACCGGAAGTTAGCAGATCTCCGTGCAGCTACAGCAACCTCAAGGAGCAGAATTCGGGAGTCTGTGATCGCTTTGAACAAGTCCTGGTTCGACCACCTTATCGCCTATTGCAACTCTGGAATTGCATCTGATTCACAGCTGGGGATACATTCGGCGCCATTCTTTCACGATCTACCGCCGGAGACCCTGTATGGCTTAACTGAAGCAGACCCGGTTGCAAATGGGTGGGACGCTCTAAAGGGCTTGAAGCACTTGAACCGCAAGACCCGTAAGCGCTTGTGGTCCTCCAGACAATGGGTGCTACACTTGTATGCAGGCAAGAAGCCCAACGATGAGGTGATGTTCCTGGAGAGGCAGGGCTTCGTGGTGTTGGAGTTGGACCTGGAGCGGGGTAAATCCCACGATGTATGTGATCCTTTGGTGTGGAGGGCTATTGAGTGGGGTGCGAGGACAGGAAGAATCGCTTCAGTGATTGGAGGTCCCCCACAGAATACATTCATGCTGAAGAGATGTATGTCGCCGGGACCAGAGCCACTTCGCAGTCCGGATTACCCTTATGGGGGATGGTATGGCCAGTCGGAAAAGGACCAGAAGCTTGTGAATCGACACACAGGGCCATTTGTGAAGATGATTTACTTGCATGCGCTGGCCACAGCTGGGAGGTGCGCGTTTCCCGCAGAACCAAATGAAGTCAAGGAGGTGGGATTCATGATTGAAAACCCGCGTGATCCAAGGGGGTACATGTTCTTTGATGATCGGTTGGCACAGGATTCTACGAGTTTTTGGCGTACCAGTTTGTGGATACAGTATGCTGAGGAAGCAGGTCTGACGACGCATAGTTTTGACATGTCGGCTTTGGGCAGGCCTTACAGCGACATGCGACCATCGGTACGAATCTTCCTCTTAGGCATCTTGATGGCCTTCGTGGACGTCATCAACCAGATCCTCAGCTACCAGCAAGAGCACCGCCGTCGGTCTGGACCAAAGAATTTTCGGAGGTGGTATCTATAGCAGTGAGGGAACAAAGGCTGGCCCCCCGAATGCTTAAGATGTCAGCAGAACAATGGAAAGAACACGTGCGAAGGGGTCACTTGCCACTTCGAAGTGACTGCACTGCTTGCATCATGGCCGGAGCTACCGGACGAC